TACTGTATATAAATTGCGGGCATCAGGGAGCCGCTACTAATATGCAGGGCATTGAAACCGCTTTCGAATGCGTGCTCTCATTTTACTTTTACTTTCGAGATTCACGATCACACGGACTGTATACTACGGAGCGGCAGTACCTTCCGCATATTTTACAAGATTAGATATTTGTCAGTGGTGCTCAGTATTTGCAAATCATTCGCCATTGTCCTATCAGTCATCTCTCCTTACTCTGTGTATGTGGTAAGTGAACTTTCATGTACTGTACTGTAATAGTCTACCGCTAGCAAGTGGCTAACCATGTCCCTTTAGTGGCTCCGTAGAACGCGTTATTTGTTTTCCATGCCTTTCTGCATATGGATTCACGCTTCGGGCACACCCCCTAACCCCGCCCCCCGATATCATCGTCCATCACGATGTTTCACTGTAGACATCGTCTGATGGCATTTGTTCATTAGATCTAAAGATATTCCTTATGATGTTATCACACACATTAAACCATTAAATTAAGAAAAATATAGGTTACGCTTTCATTCATAACTTCAAGAAACATGCATAGATTGTGGAAAATGGCACAACATTATTTTCAGAAAATTCTCCTGATTAAAATGATACCATAATCTGTCATTTAGATCTAAAGATATTTGTCATCGAGTTATAACACATAAAACCCCAAATGCACACATGGTGTAACTTTCCCATGGATTTATACGCTTGTCATTTCATGAAACATGCTCCGATCGTGGAAAATATATCATTATTTACAGCAGATCCTCATGATTCAAATGAGTCCAAAATCAAAACAATCTATTGTGTCTTTCGTGTGTAAATAATACCTAAACCCATGAATTGAAGAAATCAGTTGGAGAGCTCCATTGAACACTTGGCAAGCAGAATGTAAAACCTAGAATATTTGTGTATTTTATCTTTTATATAACTTTTTTTAATAATTAGGTATCATTTTAAAGCTTAGAAATTCAGCTTTCGAATGCATCCAACCATTTTGATCAACCCCTAACCAGTGCTGCCTATTTCCTCTACACTGGAGTGTACCGCCGGCGGGCGCCCCCTAGCAAAGAAAAAAAAAAAAATCATATTTTTCAAAATCACTGCATTGATCAACACAAAATAGGTGTCATTTGAAAACTTGGAGTCTGACCTTTACAGTGCATTCAGCCACTTTGATTAACTCCTAAGTAGTGCTGAGTTATATGCGGATACATCAAAAAAAAAAAAATCATAATTTAGGAAAAATAATTTGTGCCATGTACTCTTAATATGTCAGAAACATCATACAGCTCAGATAGTCATGTGTCATATGTCATTTGAAAGGTCTCATCGAGTGGAATAAAACAAGTATAATT